TTATCCCCCAGCAGACCCAGAGCTGGTTTGGAAAGACAAATCCCTCATTCCTCTCAACACCGTCCCCTGTGGCCCATGGAAATCTCACACCACAGCTCTGCAGGTGTTCAGAGAAATAAACCAGCCCCAAATTTCTCCAAACACCCCAATCCTGCCGTTGCCTTGGTCCCCGGGCAGGGATGAAGCAGGAGCTTCCTCAGCTGCTGCTCCTCGCGGGCGCTGCCCACCACGGCAGGCCAAGCCCTCGTTAATTAAAAAGGCTGCTCAGGGTTATAATTAATGTTCCCTGGGAGCCCTGGATCAGGGGGACAGCTCAGTTTGTGGGATCTCCCTCCAGGCAATGGAAAACTGGAGGCATGAAGGGGGTGCTGGAAGGGGGTTTGGGGTCAGCTCAGGCACTCTCCAGGCCTGAGTGCAGAAACCCCAGAGAACATTCCCATCCCAAAGCGTCCAGGCTCATCCAGCTCCTGCTCCCACATGTTCAGGGGGTGTTGTCCCATCCTTCAGGAACATCCTGGGGAGGAATTTCAGCTGGAGGGGGCTGGGTGGGAGTCAAGAGGCAGGAGCTGGCTGGGAATCATGGAATGGTTGGGTGGGAAAGGACCTGAAAGCCCACCCAGTCCCAGGGCAGGGACAACTTCCACTGTCCCAGGCTGCTCCAAGCTCCTCCAACCTGGCCTTGGACACTCCCAGGGATGGGGCATCCTCTGGGAAATCCATTCCAGGGCCTCCCCACCCTCCCAGGGAGGAATCCCTTCCTCACATCCCCTCTAAATCTTTCCTGGTTTAGTCTAAAACCTTTCTCCCTTGTCCTGTCCAGGTTTCCATCTCCCATGGAGATGAAGCTCCAAGACTGACAGGCCTGGGGACCTTCCTGGGATGTTGGCAGGGCTCAGCCCCTCAAGGACAAGGAGGTTTTCATTTCTTTTATTCTCCAAACCCCTCTTTGTGCATTCCCTGATGTTCCCAGCCTGCATGTTAATCCCCCACCCAGGGACCAGGGATTTAGCATTAATAATCCACGGATAATTCAGCGGCCTGGGGTAAATTCCTGAATTTTTAATGTTTTATTCTGAAGCCCACAGCACATCTTTCACTGCCAGGGTTTTTTTTTCCCTCTTGGGATGGGGGAGAGAGTATTTACCGAGGGCTTCTGGGTGTGCCACTGTGGATGTTGGCCCAGCAAATCCCTTAATTATCCCATCAGGTTCCCTTTCCTTTGTTTTTGATGTGATTGAGTGTTCAGCAAAGTTGTTTTAATCCTGGAAAATCCCTGGTGGATTTGGCTGGGTGTGGCCTGGACAGAGATTTTTTATTGCCATTATTTCTCAGTCTGAGTGTTAAAGAGAAGAGTGAGGAGGGCAATGCTGGAGCTGGATGGGCATGCCAGGCACCTGCACCTGGGCTCCTCTCCCTGTGGGACGGGCCCTGGGGACAATTAACACCATGGGAGGACTCTGGCACATTGGGAGCTGCCAGCTCAAACAGGAGAACAAGGATCCAGCCTGGGGGCAGGGGTCTGGGGGGAGGGATGGCCCCTGCAAGCCCGAGGGATCTGCTCTCCATCACTCAGCTCAAACAGGAGAACAAGGATCCAGCCTTGGGGCAGGGGTCTGGGGGGAGGGATGGCCCCTGCAAGCCCGAGGGATCTGCTCTCCATCACTCAGCTCAAACAGGAGAACAAGGATCCATGCTTGGGGCAGGGGTTTGGGGAGAGAAAGGGCCCCTGCAAGCCCGAGGGATCTGCTCTCCATCACTGTGGGCTGGGCAGAGTCATCCTTGTGTTCTCCAGGACCAAGCAGAGCCCTGAGGGCTCTCCCAGATGCTTTTCCTGGCTCAGGAAGGACGTGGTGGCTCCCCAGAGCCCCACGGGGGTGGTGCCTGTTGGTGCTGGATTGGTGCCAGGCTGGGCCAGGAGAGGAGACCAAGATCCCCTGGGTGGGGATGGACCTTGGACACCTGGAGCTGGGCCAGGGGGGGATCAGGCTGGAGATCAGGACAAGGTTCTTCCCCCAGAGGGTGCTGAACAGGCTCCCCAGGGATTGGTCATGGCTCCAAGGCTGCCAGAGCTCCTGGAGCCTTTGGACACCGCTCTCGGGCAGAGGGTGGGATTTTGGGGTGTCCGTGCAGGGCCAGGGATTGGACTGGATGATCCTGGGGGTCAATGAGGATGTTCCCTGAACAGAGCAGGGCAGGGGCTGGAGTCTCTTCCCTGCTGTTTTTATCCAGGAGGAGCTGCTGGGGTTGTTGCTTTGCTGGGGTTGATGCTTTGCTGGGGTTGTTCTTTGCTGGGGTTGTTCTTTGCTGGGTTTGATGCTCTGCTGGGGTTGTTCATTGCTGGGGTTGTTGTTTTGCTGGGGTTGTTCTTTGCTGGGGTTGTTCTTTGCTGGGGTTGATGCTTTGCTGGGGTTGATGCTTTGCTGGGGTTGTTCTTTGCTGGGAGTTTTTCCTCCCCCAGAACGTTTCACCTCTTTGAGTCTTTCTAGCCCGGGGTGGAGTTAGGGCTCCGAGGAACCTGGCTTGGCTGGGCAGCAGAGCCCTGGGGCTGCCTGAGGAACTGGGCTCACAAAGCACCCAGAGCCCCTGCCCCAAGCCCCTGACCCCTTGGCCGGGCCCCTGCCTGGAGGGGCTCACACCTGAGTGTGTTGGAGGTTCTTTACCCGTCCTCGTGCTCAGTAATTTATCCGTGGTTGTTTATCCATCCTTGTTCTTGGCCGTTTGTCCATCCTCACCCTCGCAGAGCAGCCGGAATCCGGGCTCAGCTTCTCTCCCTCCCTTGGGACCTGCCCAGGTCTCTCAGCCCCGGCCCAGCCCCGGGAGAATGAAGCCCTTGAGGAGCCGCAGGTTAAGTGGCCCTTAATTGATTCGGAATAATCCTGACAGGTCCTTCGGAATCGCCCCTTTCCAGCTGAATGGCTCGGGCTGGGTCCGTGTGGATGCCAGCGCTGCTTTGCTTGGCTGCATTCCTGCCCTTCCAGCTCGTGCTTTTCTTTTAACCCTTCCTTTCCCGGCTTCTCCGCAGAATCCAGGAACGGGGATGGTTTTTCCACCCCGTTTCCCTGCATAGATTCCTCACCTTCTGTGCGCTGGGTCGGGGGAGCCTGCAGTTCGTCACGTTTTGTTTTTTTCCCCGGCAGAGTGCTCAGAACAGCTGATTTATTGTTTGTACCTCTGTTATCGACCTGGCAAACTCAGGAGTGACTGGAAGGGGCTGGGGAGGGACGGGAGGGGGGATGGAGGGTCTCAGCTCCAAATTGTCTCATTTAGGGGGAACAGAGAGCGCGGCTGCTCTGCTGAGAGCTCCCATTCCTCTCCAGCCCCTCTCTGGGCTCCAGGTGGAGCCTGGGCTGTGTTTCCACTGTTCCTTCCTCTATCCTGGGCCCGTGGGAGCCCCTTCACCCTTCAAAAGGGACAATTTTCCCTCACGTCCTGCTGCCTGTGGCACAAGAGCAGATGTCCCCATCTCCCTGTACCCTGAGGTTGTATTTCCCCCACTCAGGCTCTGTCAGAGCAGTGAAAACCCCGATTCCCTAAGTGCCCCTTCCCCTGGGCTGGGAGATCCCCATTTTCCCCCTGTCCATGGGCTTGGATCAATAACACTGATCAATAACCTGCTGTGGGGGTGGGGCTGCTCCAGACCCTCCCTGTGCCCCCTGGGGCTGCAGCGGCCCCGAGGGGACAAGGGTGGGACCCAGGAGCCGTCCATGTGGGATTCCTCCCTCCTGCCCTCTGTCCGAGCCCGGCTCAGGCTGTTCCCTCTTGTCCCACTGGAGCGTCCAGCCCCCACAGCACCCCCAGGATATTTGGGAGCTGCTCCCACGGCTGGCTCTGAGGCAGCAGCAAAGGCTCCTCAGAGCCTCCTTCCCTTTGCAAATCCCAGTCCCGAGGTTCAGCAGCTCTGGGGCAGCTGCTTCCCAGCCCTGGAGTGGGATCCTATCCCTGCATCCTTCCTAACCCTGGATCATCCCTGTTCCTGGATCCCCACATTCTCCTAACCCTGGGTTATCCCTTTCCCTGGATCCCCACATTCTCCCTAACCCTGGATCATCCCTGTTCCTGGATCCCCACATTCTCCTAACCCTGGGTTATCCCTTTCCCTGAATCCCCACATCCTCCCTGTCCATGCACCCTCCCCATTCCTGACCTCAACCCTTCACGCTCCTGGGTGCCGTGTCTGTCCATCCTCCCCATCCCACCCCTGCATCCTCCCTAACCCTGCACCCCATCCCATCCCATCCCATCCCATCCCATCCCATCCCATCCCAGCCCTGTATCCTCTCCATCCCTAAGCCCATCCCCACATCCCCTCGTCCCGACCCTCTCTCCATGGCCCCCATCCCAACCCTTTCTCCATCTCCCCCCCACCCCGACCCTCTCTCTATCCCAACCCTCTCTCCATCCCAGCCCTTTCTCTATGTCCCCTCCACCCTGATCCTCTCCCCATTCCCCCCATCCCGACCCTCTCTCCATCCTGACCTTCTCTCCGTCTCCCCATCCTGACCCCCTCTCCACTGCCCCATCCTGACCCTTTCCCCATCCTTCTCATCTCGACCCTCTCTCCTTCCCCCCCATCCCGACCCTCTCTCCATCCTGGCCCTCTCTTTGTCTCCCCATCCTGACCCCCTCTCCATTGCTCCATCCTGAATCTCTCCCCGTCCCAATCCTCTTCCTCAGCCAGACCCTCTCCCCATCCCTCTCATCTCGACCCTCTCTCCATCTCCCCCATCCCGACCCTCTCTCCATCCGGACCCTCTCCCCAGCCGACCCTCTCTCCCCCCCCCATCCCTCGCTGCTCTCCCGGCTCCCCTGTGCCGCGGACTGGCAGTGGTACAGCCCTGCCTGCAGCGCCCGCAGCTCCGGGGACGCTGCTGGAAGCTGAAGGCAGCGGCTGCGGGGGCTGCGGGGGCCGCGGGAGCCGCATCCAGCCCCACACCGCCGGGGAGAAGGGCTGGAAGGGACCCCGCGCCCAGCTCGGTCCCGATCCGGGGGCAGCAGCAGCCATGACCCAGGGGAAGGTGAGGAGGCCGGAGCGGGCAGGATGAGCCCGTCCCTGTTGCATAACGGCGCGTTCGGAGGGGAAGAGCGGCGCAGGGAAGGGATTTAGGAGCAGAACGATGGGTGGAAGGGGAGCTGGGTACCGGGCACGGAACTTGCCGTGGGGGTGGAGGGGCTGGGGGCTGGAAGGGGCTGGGGGGGCTGGTTTTGGGGTTGAGGGCTGGTTTAGGGATGATTTTGAGAGTGGAGGTCGGTTTGGGGTTGGTTTTGGGATCGGGCTGGTTTAGGGGTGATGGATGCACAGCTTAAACCCTGTTGGACCTGACCTGTGGCCGCTTTACCCCCCTGCGCCCCCCAAATCGCAGGTGTCGGGGGACTCCGTGACCTGATTGTACTGTCCCACCCTGTCCCCACCTGGCAGCTCCTGCCCGGCCCGGGGGCTCTGGATTTTGGGGATTTGGGGGATTTTGGGGTTCTCCAATGCTCTCAGACCGAGGAGGGGGGATTGTGGATCCTCTGCCAGCTCATGCACCATCGCCATGGCAACGCTCTGGATGCAGCTCCATCCCTCTGGATCTCCTTGGATATCCGGGGGGGTGGGGAGGGGGCTTGCAGGATCTCGGCCCCCTAAACCCAAGGGACAGGGAAGGACAGACCCTAGGGGCTGGCAGGGGGGCTGGCACAGCTGGATCTGCCCGTGGGACTCAGCTCGACCCCTGCTGTTTTCAGTGCCCTGGCCCCTTCAGCCCTGCTCACTCTGCTCTGTTAATGCCCCCTGGTTTTGGGGCTCGTTGCCACTGCAGCCCCCCGAGCTGTGGGGAGCCGCTCCCGGGGCCGAGCTGGCTCCTCCGCGGGCAGCAGAGTTTATCCTGGCACTTATCTACCCCAGGGCCAGCCGGCAGGTTAAAGGGATCATGTTCCCAAGGAGAGTGCTCAGGTGGCCCCAGGCGGGCTCCTCGCTGCAGTCCCACGTCCTTGGAATGCGGGGAAGCAGCAGAGCTGAGCCTCCTCACGGGCACCGAGGAGAAAATTCTGGAGGGCCAAACCAGAGCATTCCTGGGAGCAGCTGACCCAAAATGGGCTAAATGGGAATGAAGAGTTCAGGATTTCCTGCCCAGGAACTGAAAGCTCTTTTTAAGGAGCAATGTAGGAAGTTTGATGAGAAGCAGAGAATTCCTTGGATGTTTTTGGTGTCACGTTGAGCCCGAGGCACCGCGGGGGCTCCGGGTCTCCCCTCAGACCTCCCTGCCTGGAACTTCTCATCCCAATGAGCACCTCCGGGGCTTTCCCATCTCCCCCGAGTTATGAACACCCTTCCCGAGGTGCAGGGATGGGCCCGTGCCCAGCTCCCAGGAATGGCTGGGGGCTCCCAGTTCAGTTCCTGCATCTCCCAGTTCCTGACCCCTTCTCCAGAACCTGTCCGTGCCAGCTTCTCGTCCAGGGCGGTTTCTGGGATGCTTTCACTCAGCTCTCTCTCTCTTTGCCCCTTTCTGTGCAGCTCTCTGTGAACAACAAACCCCCCAGCTCTGAGGGGCAGGGGGACAAGAAGGACAATGCCACAGCCCCCCCGGCTCCCCCGTCCTACGAGGAGGCGACAGCGGGAGAAGGGATGAAATCCGGGGCTTTTCCTGCCCCGCCCGCGGCCCCGCTCCACCCCAGCTGGGCTTACGTGGATCCCAGTAAGTCCTTCCATGGCTCGGCTGGGTGAGCCTGGGAGAGGGGGCAGAGATCCCTCCGGGATGGAGAGGAGAGGAGAGGGGGAGCTGGGATAAGAGGGGGAGCAGGGATAAGAGGGGGAACTGGGATAAAAGGGGGAACAGGGATAAGAACAGGATAAGAGGGGGAGCAGGGATGAGAGGGGGAGCAGGGATAGGAGAAGAACCAGGGATGTGGTGCCCATTTTGGCCCAGGGTAGAGCTGTGAGCCTCTGTCTGCACAGGAGAGTCTCTATCGATGTGTAAAAGTTTCCATCTGCACATAAAATCTCCATCTGCACATAAAAGTCTGTATCTGTGAATAAAAGCCATTCCAGCCATCCCAGAGAGCTCACTCCCTTCCAGACGAGGGGGTAAACTCCTTCCCTGTCCCATGGTGGGAGAAATCCCCATTCCCACCTCCCAGGGCTGGAGGAAAAGTCCTGGAGCAGCTGCAGGGATCCCCCCACCCCCTCCTGCAGCTCCTGCTCAGCCCCAGCTCTCAGAGCAGCTGAGGTGGCACAATTGGTGTCACAAGAGGTGTCACAGTCCTGAGTGTGGCTGCTGCCAGAGCCAGGGAGGCTGGGACACGGCTGGAGCCAAAGGCTGGATTGTTCCAGCATCCTTGTGGCCATTCCTGGGCAAACCAGCAGTTTTTCCAACACAGAAGCTCCCTGGAGCTCCTGCTGGGCCATAGCAGAGGACGAAGCCCTGGCTGTGCCCAGGGAATGGCTGCAGGCTTGCAGCTGGGGCTGGTGCCCAGGAAGTGACGCTGGGGGTGGCTAAGTGCTCACTCAGCACAGTTCCAGCCAGAGAAAACGCTGGGATTATGGGATTTTGGGACTCCTGAGCTCTTGCCCTGCTCCGTCCTTTGCTGCCTGTTCTGTCCAGGTGCAGGGATGGGATACCTGGGGAAGGGGAAGGAGTGAAAACCTCCCCTGCTGTCTGTGCTGGCATGTTCTGATGGTTTCTCAGCCTTTCCCCTAAGGAACAGGATAAATCCCCCCAGGTGCCTCTGGGGATCATCTGGATTTTTCTGCTGTCACCATGAATTATTGGGGGTGAGGCCTAAAGGGGGTGAGATGGGGTGTTTGGGGTTTAGGGGTTGGGATGGGGTATTTGGAGTTTAGGGGGTGGGATGGGGTATTTTGGGGCTCCAGGTGGGAAACCCATTCTATGGGATGTCTCACACCTGAGTGGGAGCACCTGGAGACAAGGGATGTGGATTTGGGATTTTTCTGTGACCATGAACTCAGGACACACCGTCCTGCTGTGGCCTTGGGAGGGGGGACAGATGTGGGGACACCAGGAGGGAGGAGAATGAAACCCTCTGGATGCTGGCAGGGAGGGAGGAGGGTAAAACCCTTCAGTTCCTCGGGGCACTGAGGTGCCAGCTGGGTGTTTAGGGGCCAGCTGGGTGTTTAGGGGCCAATTTGGTGTTTAGGGACCAGTTGGTGTTTAGGGGCCAGCTGGGTGTTTAGAGGCCAATTTGGTGTTTAGGGGCCAATTTGGTGTTTAGGGGCCAGTTGGTGTTTAGAGGCCAGTTGGTGTTTAGGGGCCAGCTGGGTGTTTGTGGGCTGGGACTGCTTTGGTGCAGGAGGCTGGCAGTGTCCCAGGGATTCTCCCTGCCCCAGGCACTCTGGGCCCCATGGGGGATCCAGGAGAACACACAGGAGGTTCAGCTCCAGTGGGGCAGGAAGGAAGGACCAAGGGATTTATTGGCAACAGAAGAGCACCAGGGACTTATTTGCTGCTGGGGTCACCTAAGTGAGGCTCCTGCATTTTGAATGAGTAACTTTTGACCAGGAAAACAGGAGAAAATCAGGATCAGGACCTTGAGTTTGGCTCTCCTGGTGTCTGCTCTGAGATTAAGAGGATCTTTGCTCCACCTTCCTGAAGGATTTGGGTATCCCTGAGCTCAGAAGCCTCAGGAGGAGGGGAGGTGTCTGTGGACCAGGCAGGGACAGGAATGTAAAGCAGGAAAATCACACAAAAATCCTTCAGTGGAAACCCAGCAGGGGGAACTTCAGTGACACAGGAGGGGACATCAGCAAGGAAAGCACAGAGGGCACAGAATCATGGAGTCATGGAATGGTTTGGGTGGGTGGGCCCTCCCAGCCCATCCAGTGCCACCCCTGCCATGGCAGGGACACTGCCACTGCCCCAGGCTGCTCCCAGCCCCATCCAGCCTGGCCTGGGACAGTTCCAGGGATGGGGTAAGAAAAACCAGCAACAGGAGCTTCTGTTCTTGTTTCGGCAAAGCAGAGATGACTTGTGCAGGGATTTGAGGATTTGGGGGAAGGTTTTTCTCACTGGTAGCGTTGGAGCTGTTTCCTCCTTTTTCAGGCTCGGTGCTTGACTGTTTCCTGAGTCCCTGCATGGAAATGGGGTTGAGGGATGGAGCTCAGGGAGCTGCCAGGAGCTGCTCTTGGAGCAGGGAGGTTGTTGACAAAGCCACGATGCAAACACAGCTCAGGAGAGCAGCGAGGGAATCCTCCTGCTCCGCAGGGAATGCTGAGTCACAGCTGCTCTGGGGATGTTTAACATCCAGTGAAAGGAGAGCAAGGGATGATCCCAGCCCTCCCATTGCTGTGGAGGGTTTGGTGTTTCCTCAGACAAGGACCCAGCCTGGTGTTGGGATGGTTTGTGGGAACGTTCCCCCTCTGTTCCCAGGGATGGTCCTAAGGAGCAGCAGGAGTGGGAAGGGAGCAGAGGAACTGTTGTATTTGCTGGGAAGTGTCCCAACGAGGGCAGGAATGATGCACCTGACTCCATGTTCTCAGAAGGCTAATTTATTACTTTATGATGTTGTATTATATTAAAGAATACTAAACTATACTAAAGAATACAGAAGGGATACTTACTGATTGCTAAAAAGATAATAATGAAACTCGTGACTCTTTCCAGAGTCCTGACACAGCTTGGCCCCGATTGGCCAAAGACTCAATTCACATCAGAATCCAATGAAACAATCACCTCCAAACACATTCCACATGAGCAGAACACAGGAGAAGCAAATGAGATAAGAATTGCTTTCCTTCTCACTGAGGCTTCTCAGCTTCCCAGGAGAAAAATCCTGGGCGAAGGGATTTTTTCAGAGGTGTGAATGCCACAGGGAACCTGTGGGAATTTGGGGCACCTGAGCCGTGGTGGGTCCCTGGGATCAGGTCCCACAGCTGGGGGGGAATTGGGGTGGGAGCTGGAGCGGCTCCTTTGGCCTCTCTGCAGGCAGCAGCCCGAGCTACGGCAGCGGGGGGTACCCGGGGGACACGGAGCTGCTCACCACCTTCAGCTGGGACGACCGCAACGTGCGCAGGGTGTTCATCAGGAAGGTGAGGGAGGGACACGTCCCTCGCGCTCTGGGCCGGCAGAGCTGGACCCCCAGCCCCTGGAGGGCCCGGCTCTGCTGGGTTCTGGGATCCATGGATCACCTCTCCCTGCAGGTTTACGCCATCCTCATGGTCCAGCTCCTGGTCACCGTTGTCATCGTGGCTTTCTTCACCTTCTGGTGGGTGCTGGGTGTGTCCTGAGCCACCTGGGAGCGGGCCCTGGGCAGCTTCCTGGGGGTTGTGTCACACCTGGATTCTTTCTGAGTATTCCAATAGAAAAGCAAAGCTGAGGGAACACTCAGAGGTCCCTCAGTCCTTTTGCTCCCATTCCCACCCACGCTCAGGATTGGATCTTCCATCCTGAGTGATCCCCAGGGCTGCTGCCCTTGGCAGTGACTGCTGGGTTTTCCCTGTGGGAGTTACCAGATCCCAGCTCTAGGGGCTGCTTTCCCTCCCCTGCTCATCCCCTTGTCCAGCTCGGATGACCGAGCGCTCTGGGTGTGTGTGGCTCATGTTGCCTCCAGAATAAATAATGGATCACTGCCAGCCTGAGGATTTGGGCTCCCTAATCCCCTGTGGGAGCCATTCCCAGCCAGCTCCGCTGTGGAACTGGGGGAGCAGCGCTGCCCTTCCCTCCTGGCAGCTGGAATTCCTCTCCACAGGCTCAGGATTCACCCAGGGCTGGGTTTTTAATCCCGTGCTAGGGCTGTTCCTGGGTTCATTGAGCAGGGAGCTGTGAGGGACTGGCTTCTTCCTGCTCAGGATCTTTTCCTTCTGTCTTGCAGTGAACCAGTCAAGGGCTACATCCAGACCCACTCTGCCTGGTACTGGGCTTCCTAGTGAGTATCCCTGGCTTTTCCTAGGCCTTGTGCGCTCCAGACAGCCTAGCTGGGGCTGTGGGGATGTGGGAAGGGTCTCCAACACTCCCCAAACACTTCCCTGTCCTGCATGCGAAGCATCACTCCAGAGAGTCCAGGGGCAACTGGGAAGGTCATGGAATCGTGGAATGGGTTGGGTTGGGAGGGACCTTAAAGCTCACCATGGCAGGGACACCTCTCACCATCTCAGGCTGCTCCAAGCCCCAGTGCCCAACCTTGGGCACTGCCCCAGCTGCTCTGGGCACCAAGCCATGGGTGAGCCTGAGGTGAGCAGATGGGAAATCTCACCTGAATGAGCAAGAAACACCAGAGAGGAGAACTCCAAACACTTCCCCAAAAATGGCTCTAGAAACCAGGGTCGAAATAAATACCTGAGTATTTCCTGCAGAAAGCCAGGGAAAACTGGGGAGTTTCCAGGGAAACAGGAGCTCCTAATGAGACCTGGAAGGATGTCCAGGGTACCTTAGAGGGTTGATTTTGGGAAGGTCTCCTGGGAAGCTCCAAAGGCCTCCTTGCAGAGCATTCAGGAAAACACTGCAGAGCCCCATATCTGACACCTGGAAGGATGTTCAGGGCACCATGGAGGCTGAATTTTGGGATTTTCCCCTTGGAAGCCAGGTGGTTGTTGGCATTTGCATTACATAATATCCAGGGGATATGGGGGGTGGATTTGGAGGTTTTGGGATGTTCCTGGCCATGTCTGAGTGGAACTGTCACTCCTGGAGCTCCATCCCAGAGCCCCAAAGTTGGGATTCTGTTCCTTGGTTCCCCCAGCCGGCCCAGAACGGAGCTTCCCCATGCTGGTATCTCCTGGCTCCGTGGTTTCTGGGCTGCTGGTGGGGTCAGTGCTGCTCACTGAGTGTGAGGTGAACTCAGCTTTAATCAGTTCACACCCAAATCAGGAGATGAGACACCGGCTTATGTAACCTGGGAGAAGCCTCGGAACAGCAGCAATGGGAGCTCCGGGCCACCAGCAGGGAACCAGAGGTGCTCCAGAGGGCAGCTGGGCTTGGAGAGGCAGTGTCACCTCCCAGGGGACAAGGGAGAGGAGGCTCAGCCCTGCTCAGGTCCCCACCTTGGCCTCTGGGGTCACTCTTCCAGCCTCCTGCCCAGATGGAGTTTATTCCCTCCCTTTCCCAGCAGGAACACCCTCAGGGCAGCTGGGGGGTTCTGTCCTGGAGGAATTTCCCCCTGGTCATTGTCCCCCTGTGCCCAGGTGAGACCCCACCTGCAGAGCTGCCCCAGCCCGGGGGTCCCGCACAGGGAGGATGAGGAGCTGCTGGAGAGAGCCCAGAGGAGGCCACAGAGCTGCTCAGGGCTGGAGCCCCTGTGGAGCCAGGCTGGGAGAGCTGGGGGTGCTCACCCCACTGCAGGGAGAGCTCAGAGCCCGTGCAGGGCCTGGAGGGGCTCCAGGAGAGCTGCAGAGGGACTGGGGACAAGGGACAGGGGGACAGGACACAGGGAATGGCTCCCACTGCAGGGGGCAGGGATGGATGGGAGATTGGGCAGGAATTCCTCCCTGGGAGGGTGGGCAGGCCCTGGGATGGATTTCCCAGAGCTGGCCCTGGATCCCTGGCAGTGCCCAGGCCAGGCTGGACAGGGCTGGGAGCAGCCTGGGGCAGTGGGAGGTGTCCCTGCCATGTCAGGGGTGGGATGGGGTGGGTTTTAAGGTCCCTTCCCATCCAGACCATTCCATGACTTTAATTTTGTCTGTTTTTTCGCTGCTCAGTGAGCCAAGCCCTTCCCTTCATTCCAGTGTCTCCAAATGTTTTTCCTGCTCTTTGCCTGGGTCTCCTTCCCAACCAGAGACCTCTGTAAAATAAACCTGGGAACCCCAGGATGTTTTCCCACTGCTGGGATGGCACCTCAGTGGCAATAAATCCAGAGCAGACAGGGGATGGATTGCCCTGCTGGCTCTGTGCTCCTGACAGTCTCCTCCCAGCTGCTCAGCCGTGTCCAGGCTGGCTTTCCTGGTTTCCCAGTGGGAGAGCTGGGCCCGGGTTTATCTCTGTGCCCTGGGTCTCGTGGCCCTGGGCTCTGCCCTCACCTCCCTGCCGTGGCCGAGGGTCAGTGGCTATCGGGAGCCATCGGCACGCCCGGAACTGCTGCTCCGGGGAGAGCAGGGGAGCAGCTTCCCGAGCCTGGAAAAACACCCAGCTGCGGGCAGGAGAGCCTCCTTCGGCTCTGGGGCTGCTGTGCTTCGAGAGGGTCAAATGCTGGGAGGTAAAACCTGCCAGGACCTGGGAGGAGCTGGGCAGCCACGGCACCTTGGGCTCTGCTGAGCTGGGAGGATCCTCCAGCCCTGGGCTTGTCCCTGAGCCCTTTTCTGAATGGATCCTCCAGCCCTGAGCCCTTCCCTGAGCCCTTTTCTGAATGGATCCTCCTGCCTTGGGCTTGTCCCTGAGCCCTTTTCTGAATGGATTCTCCTGCCCTGAGCCCTTCCCCGAGCAGCTCTTCCTGCCCTGAGCCCTTCCCTGCCCTGGGCTCTTCCTCAAGCACTCCAGCAGTGGAACTCTGGAGTGGATTGGGTTGGAGGGACCTTCAAGTCCATCCAGTGCCACCCCTGCCATGGGCAGGGACACCTTCCACTGTCCCAGCTTTCTCCAATCCCTGTCCAGCCTGGCCTGGGACACTTCCAGGGGTGGAAAGTCTAGAAATTCCCATTTCTGGAGGGATGTACCATGGGAGCAGCTCCTCCTCCAGCACAGCCCTTCCAACCCGGTCACTTTGCTAGCTCTTTGTCTAAGAACCTCCAGCCTTGACACCCTCAAGCCAGAAAGGGTTTGGAAACAAGGAGCAAAGCCTGGCACCTCCTGTGAGAAACTCACAGAACCATGGAATCCTGGAATCATGAAGGTGGGAAAAGCCCCCGGAGACCATCGAGTCCAACCACCAACCCTCCCCTCCCCGCTGCCCATGTCCCCAGTGCCACTTCCACAGGCTTTTGGACACTTCCAAGGATGGGATTCCACCACTGCCTGGGCAGCCCCTTCCCTTCCAATGCCTGACCTCCCTTGCCAGGAAGGAATGTTTCCTAAGAGCCAGCACAAACCCAGATCCTGCCCTGTTTGTCATTAACATATTTGGGTGCTCCCTGGGGTCTGAACCCGACCTTGGCTCTGCTCCAAACCCAGCCCTCAGCTTCTCCAGGGATGTTTTGTCCCACCCCGGGGACAGGAACATGCAGAGCAGGCCCCTGAGGGCAGGAAGGGGCTTAGTGAGAGGGACCAGAGGCGGGAACCACTCTGCTCCATGCCTGCTGGGTGTTTGCATCTCCAACAACCCCATCCCAGGGACTTCTCCCTGTGCCACCATCCCCGGCTGCTTTTCCAGGGAATTCCATCCCAGGGAATTCCTCCTGCACCACCATCCCTGGCTGCTTTTTCAGGGAATTCCATCCCAGGGAATTCCCCCCTGCACCACCATCCCTGGCTGCTTTTTCAGGGAATTCCATCCCAGGGAATTTCCCCCTGCACCACCATCCCTGGCTGCTTTTTCAGGGAATTCCATCCCAGGCTGCTTTTCCAAAGAATTCCATCCCAGGGAATTCCTCCTGCACCACCATCCCAGGCTGCTTTTCCAGGGAATTCCATCACAGGGAATTCCTCCTGCACCACCCTCCCAGTTGCTTTTCCCCCCTGAGCTCTCCCTCTCTCCTTGCAGCGCCGTTTTCTTCGTCACCTACCTGATCCTCGCCTGCTGCTCCGGGCCCAGGTAAGGGGATGCTTTGGGGTCTGGGACAGCCTGGGGAGGGCAGCAGGAATGTTTTCCTCAGGTTTCCAGCCCTATTATGGGGCAGGGATGCAGCTGCTGTGTTTCCTTGGGATCATGGAATAGTTTGGGTTGGAAAGGACCTCAAAGCCCATCCAGTGCCACCCCTGCCAGGGGCAGGGACACCTCCCACTGTCCCAGGCTGCTCCAAGTCCCATCCAGCCTGGCCTTGGACACTGCCAGGGATCCAGGGGCAGCCCCAGCTGCTCTGGGGGAGTCCAGTGGCATCTGTGACTTCCCAGCAGGAACTGCCCCGTTTGCAGCCCTGGGAATGAAACATTCCAGAAGATCTCTTGTCAGCTCCCAGAGGAGCAGGAATACCCTGGGGACCTTTGTCCTGCTGGCCCCAGAGGACCCCAAATGCCCTGTGGCTCCCAGCAGGGTGACTGTGCCCTGCACTGCCCCAGCACTGGTGCACAGGGCGCTAATTACCAGCATGGACATTAATTACCCAGCAGGGTCATTGATGGCCATTAATTACCCTCACAGTCACTAATTATCCTCGTGGTCAGGGATTCCCTGGCACAGCCCCGGCTGATTGACCCCTGTTTCCTTTGCAGGAGATACTTCCCATGGAATCTGATCCTGCTCAGCATCTTTGTGAGTAGCACATCTGGACAACATCTGCCTGGGGTCAGAGTGGCTCCAAGGACAAGGCTGGCATTCCTGGGGAAAAGTGGAAATTTCATCCCCTTATTGTCCTGAGGAGCTGTGGTTGCACTGGAATGAGAGAAGCTGAGAAAAAAGGGAGCCTCTGTTTGTTAAAAATTTGCAAAAAATAATCTGTGGAGTCTGGTGGGAACTGGGGTGGGAACTGGGGTGGGAACTGGGGTGGGAGCTGGGATGGGAGCTGGGATGTGGGATGGGAGCTGGGATATGGGATGGGAGCTGGGATGTGGGATGGGAGCTGGGATGTGGGATGGGAGCTGGAATGTGGGATGGGAGCTGGAATTGGGATGGGAGCTGGCTCTGTGTGGGAGGGATGCAGGAGCAGGGGATGCTCCTGTCCCGTTTGCCCTCCCCCTGCCCTCTCCTGTGCCCATAATCACTGGAGGGGTCCAAATGCTGCCAAGTTCCTTCTCCTGAGAGTCTGAGATGCTTCCCTGCCCTTTTCTCTGGGATTGAGGGATTTCCTGTGGTGTCTGCTCTGGGCATGAGGGCACTAACCAGGCTGTGTTTTCCCCCAGACCCTGTCCATGGCCTATCTCACTGCCATGCTCTCCAGGTGGGTTGGGCTCTGTCCTGTGTCCTGTCTCTTCCTGAAAACATTCCATATTCCTGAGCTACCTGAGCTGTCTGGGGCTCCCAGCAGCCACACAAAGCTGGAGCTTCCCTGTGAAAACTTTCCAAGGAAGGTTTCCAAGGTCTGTCCCTGTCCCAAGGGTGGCAGCACTGGAGGATTCCCACATCCCAAATCCTGCAGGAGAGCCCTGGAGGGCCAGGACAGGGCAGCACCTGGATGGGCAGGAGGTGACCGCTCAGTGATCCCACATTTCTCACTGGGCAGGTCCCAGGCAGGTGGGGCTGCAGTGAGCCAAGGATTTTTTTCCAGCACTTTCAGGAATTTGTATCCCAGCCGGTTCCCTTCCGCTCATTTGCACCAGGAAATCTGCTCCTAGCTCACGTGGGAGCCTGGAGAGAGGGACACGACCCAGGGTGGCTGATGGATGGATTGGGACAAAGAAATCTGCAGCCTCAGCAGCTCCAGGGGGAAAACTCCAGAGACTCCACACCAATGCCCCCAGGGAGAGCAGGACTGGCTTTCCCAAGGGCTGAGCCTGGCACTGCAGCCAAAATCCTGATCCAGCCTGGAAACCATTCCAGCCTGAGACTGCAGCCCCTGTGCCCGCTCCAATCCCTCCTTCCTGCCCTTTTCCAAAAGCCAGACAGGGCAGGAGCCAGGGGCTGCTCCTTTGGTTTCCCCTCGTGCTGCAGTGCCTTTTGTCATCCTGGTTTTGTTGCCTCCTCGTCAGGATCTCCCCCATTCCCTGTCTGTCCATGGACAGTGGGATTGGTGGACTTGGAGCTGCCCCGAAGCTCTGGGAGGCCCAGACGGACCCTCCTGCCTTCCCTCTGTGCTTCAAAACAGCAGGAAAACCCATCCAAGCTTTTTTCTATCCTTCCTCTTCTAACACTAGTGTGGAATATTGATAATTCCAGCACTGTTTGTGCCTGTAGGATTCCTTGCCCAGCTCCTGCCTGTCTGAATCCCCCTTCCCATCCCCGTGGGAATGATCCCAATGTGCTTTTCCTGCTCATTCTGCAGTTACTACAACACCAAGTCGGTGCTGCTGTGCCTGGGGATCACGGCCCTGGTCTGTCTGTCTGTCACCATCTTCAGCTTCCAGAGCAAGGTGGGACTGTGGGAGCCTCCCTCGGGAAGGGGCACTCCTGGGGCACGGTGGGGGCAGCTGGGGGTGTCTGGAGGGCTCTGGAAACAGGAGCAGCCCGAGGCAGGTGGGGATGGCACGAGGAGGTTGGAGTGGATCAGGATACGTGCTAGGGAGGGATGTGGCTGGGATGTAAGTGGGGCTAGAAGATTCTGATTCATGGGAACAAAATGAGATTTTTTGTGGATTGGGGTGGGGGCTAGAAGATGCTGATTTATGGGAATAAAATGAGATTTTTTGTGGATTGGGGTGGGGCCAGAAGATGCTGATTTATGGGAATAAAATGAGATTTTTTGTGGATTGGGGTGGGGGCTAGAAGATGCTGATTTATGGGAATAAAATGGGACTTTTTGTGGATTGGGGTGGGGGCTAGAAGATGCTGATTCATGGGAATAAAATGAGATTTTTTGTGGATTGGGGTGGGGGCTAGAAGATGCTGATTCATGGGAATAAAATGAGATTTTTTGTGGATTGGGGTGGGGGTTAGAAGATGCTGATTTATGGAAATAAAATGGGATTTCTTTGTGGGTTGGGGTGTGCCATAGGTGTACACGGGACTGGAAGTTGCTGAGGTGTGGGAATAATCTGGGATTTTTGGAGGATTGGGATGTGTCAGGGATGTCAGAGGGGCTGGAAGAGGCTGCATGGTGGCAGACTGGGAGTTTCAGAGGGCTGGGCTGTGGGGGCAGGAGAACACTCGTGTGTGATGGATTTGGGATTCCCGGTGCGTGGCGAGACCCAAGCCCTTCCCGTGGCACTAAGGGGGATTTGGGAGGTCTTGGCTCTGTGCCAGGGGCTGGCTGTTGGGATGCAGAGGCAGAACCAGCTCCAGGTGAGTCCCAGTGGGGCTCGGGAGCTGCAGCTCCCCCAGAGCAGCCCTGGAACAGAAACTCCTCCTTCCCGTCCGCAGTTTGACTTCACCTCGTACCAGGGCGTTCTCTTCGTGCTGCTCATGGTGCTGTTCCTGGGGGGGCTGGTCCTGGCTGTCATCCTGCCCTACCAATACGTGAGTGAAAGCTGGCCCAAACTGGGCGTGCTGGGAGGGGGGGCCCAGCTCCCTGAAAATGGGTGGGAACCCCCATGGAGGGATGGAAGGGCAGGGTCATTCCTGGGATGGACCGTGAGGAACGGCTCAAGGATGGAACTGCCCAGGGCTGAGGACGCTTCCTGCTGTTCCTGGCGGTGGAATCATGGAATGAGTTTGGTCAGGAGGGACCTCAAAGCCCATACAGTCCCACCCCTGCCATGGCAGGGACACCTCCCGCTGCCCCAGACTGCTCCAGCCCTGTCCAGCCTGGCCTGGGCACTGCCAGGGATCAGGGGCAGCTCTGGGAAATCCATCCCAGGGCCTGCCCACCCTCCCAGGGAGGAATTCCTGCCCAATCTCCCATCCATCCCTGCCCCCTGCAGTGGCAGCCATTCGCTGTGTCCTGTCCCCCTGTCCCTTGTCCCCAGTCCCTCTGCAGCTCTCCTGGAGCCCCTCCAGGCCCTGCACGGGCTCTGAGCTCTCCCTGGAGCCTTCTCCTCTCCAGGTGAGCACCCCCAGCTCTCCCAGCCTGCCTCCAGCCCTTGGAGCAGCTCCGTGGCCTCCTTTGGGCTCATTCCAACACATCCATGCTCTTCCTGTGCTGGGACCCCCCTGGATGCCAATGGGGTCTCACCTGGGCACAGCTGCCTCTGCTCAGGCCTCTGTTTCCCCTCAGTAAAACCAAGGAAATGAGCTCATTAAACTCTGTCCCAAGTCCAGGGCAGGACTTGGGCTCAGGACTAACACCCAGCACCTGCAGAGTTCAAATCCTGAGGCCTCAGTTTCTCAGCAATGGCCCTGAGGTGTGAGTGACCCTCAGGAGCCAAGTCCAAGGGGACAGTGACACCCCTGTGTGTCCCCAAGGGACAGTGACCCCCCCTGTGTGTCCCTGAAGGACAGTGACCCCCTGTGTGTCCCTGAAAGACAGTGACCCCCTGTGTGTCCCTGAAGGACAGTGACATCCCTGTATGTCCCCGAGGGACAGTGACCCCCTGTGTGTCCCTGAAGGACAGTGACCCCCCTGTGTCCCTTAGGGACAGTGACCCCCTGTGTGTCCCTGAAGGACAGTGACCCCTATGTGTCCCCAGGGGACAGTGACCCCCTGTGTGTCCCTTAGGGACAGTGACACCCCTGCGTTTCCCCAGGGGACAGTGACACTCCTGTGTGTCCCCAAGGGACAGTGACCCCCCCTGTGTGTCCCTGAAAGACAGTGACCCCCTGTGTGTCCCTTAGGGACAGTGACACCCCTGTGTGTCCCCAGGGGACAGTGACCCCTGTGTGTCCCCAAGGGACAGTGACATCCCTGTATGTCCCCGAGGGACAGTGACCCCCCTGTGTCCCTTAGGGACAGTGACCCCCTGTGTGTCCCTGAAGGACAGTGACCCCTATGTGTCCCCAGGGGACAGTGACCCCCTGTGTGTCCCTTAGGGACAGTGACACCCCTGCGTTTCCCCAGGGGACAGTGACACTCCTGTGTGTCCCCAAGGGACAGTGACCCCTGTGTGTCCCTGAGGGACAGTGACACCCCTGTGTCCCTTAGGGACACACAGGAGTGACACTGTCCCCTGGGGGAACGCAGGGGTGTCACTGTCCCCTGGGCAAACGCAGGGGTGTCCCTGTCCCTAAGGGACAGTGACGCCCCTGCGTTTCCCCAGGGGACAGTGACCCCCTGTGTGTCCCCAGGGGAGAGTGACACCCCTGTGTTCCCCAAGGGACAGTGACCCCCTGTGTGTCCCTGAAGGACAGTGACCCCCTGTGTGTCCCTGAGGGACAGTGACACCCCTGTGTGTCCCCAGGGGACAGTGACCCCTGTGTGTCCCCGAGGGACAGTGACCCCTGTGTGTCCCTGAAGGACAGTGACCCCTGTGTGTCCCCGAGGGACAGTGACCCCTGTGTGTCCCTGAAGGACAGTGACCCCCTGTGTGTCCCCAGGGGACAGTGACCCCCGTGTGTCCCCAGGGCCTGCCAAGCCCTCACACAGCTCCAGCCACCTCCTTTGGCCTCTGCAGCCACTCCTGGCCCCAGCTGTGCTCAGGGAAATCTTGGAGCAGCTTCCAGCCAGCCTGGAGCAGGGCTGGGCGGCATCCAAGGGTGTCTCGTCCTGGCAGGTGTCACCCCCAGAGGGTCTGGCAGCCCCGGGGACACGGGCATGGATGAGGGAAGGGGGTTGGGGCCAGGCAGGTGCCATAAATCACCTGAGAGGCTCCTGGGATCCCAAATCCCTCCCCATCCCAGCCAGCTCCTCTGCCCCGAGTCATTCCCTAAGGGAGACCTCCAGGAGGATCCCACTGGTCCCAGCCCTGGAGCTGGTGCTGGACAAACGCAGCCTGGCCATTCCAAAGGGTTGGAGTCTGGCTGTCTGGGCTTGAGCTTCTCCTCTTCCCAGTGGGAATGTGAGGCTGGAGCAGCTCCCAGTGCCAAAGCACATCCGTGAAACCAGAGAGACAGCTCCTCCTCACCTGACACGTGGTGAGATAAGAACCACAGTGTGGGAATGAGCCCAAAGGCAGGGACAGCCCTGGCTTCACTGAACCCATCTGGGACTGGACCAGAACCTCCTCCTGGTTCCTCTGGGCCACAGCAGGGGCTGAGCTTTGCTCCCAGTCCCGGTGAAATTCCCCTGAGACTCCCACGGATGAATATATTTAAATTGTTCTTTAATTAGAATCATGGAGTGTCCTAAGGGGGAAGGGACACCCAGGGTCAGCCAGTCCAACTCCTGGCCCTGCCCAGGACATCCCAACAATCCCACCTTGTGCCTGGGCATTGCCCAACTGCTCCTGGAGCTCTGGCAGCCCTGGGGAGGTGTTCCAGTGCAAGAAGCTTTTCCCAATATCCAACCCAAACCTCCCCTGACACAGACCCAGCTGTTCCCTCAGGCCAGTTAAAGCTGGCTCCAGCTCTTGGAATATTTGGTGTTTCTTCCAGGGGGACCAGCTGTGTTTGGGTAATAAATCCATTCTGGGGGTGCTCCAGAGTGTTCCATCATGAGAGTGCTGGGACTGGGACCTGTGGCTTCCCCACCCGTGGAAGTGTCCAAGGCCAGGTTGGACAGGGCTTGGAGCAGCCTGGGACAGTGGGAGGTGTCCCTGCCATGGCAGGGTGGGACTGGATGGCCTTTGAGGTCCCTTCCCACCCAAACCATTCCAGGATGCCATGATTTCCACAGGACAGGTACTGGGGCCAAGTGCTGTTTGCAATAAGGAGCAGCTGGTGGAGAAGTTCAGGAGCCGAGGACCCGTGCCCTGCTCTGTGCCACAGAAACATTCCCAAACAGCTGCACAAGCTGGAAGTGGTGCAAATCCAGCCTGGGTTTTGGGGCATTTCCCAACTTTCCCCCTCCACCCGGCAGCCAAGTACCTCGGGAGGGAAGTCCTGCACAGTCCATTCTGTGCAGCTCTGACAGCTGTGTCTGTGTGTCCCTGTCCGTGTGTCCCTGTCTGTGTTTGTGTGTCCCTGTCCATGTGTCCCTGTGTCCATGTGTCCCTGTCCATGTCCATGTGTCTGTGTCCGTGTCCATGTGTCCATGTGTCCCTGTCCATGTGTCTGTGTCCCTGTGTCCCTGTGTTCGTGTGTCCATGTGCCCATGTGTCCGTGTGTCCATGTGTCTCTGTCCCTGTGTCCCTGTCTCTGTGTCCCTGTACATTTTCCTGTCTCCGTGTGTCCCTGTGTTCCTGTCCCTGTGTCCCTGTGTCTGTGTGTCCGTGTGTCCGTGTGTCCCTGTGTCCGTGTGTTCCTGTCCCTGTGTCCCTGTGTCCGTGTGTCCCTGTGTTCCTGTCCCTGTGTTCCTGTCCCTGTGTCCTTCAGGTCCCGTGGCTCCACGCGATCTACGCTCTGCTCGGGGCTGGGATCTTCACCATGGTGAGTGGCTGTTCCTGGCACCCGGCAGGGAAAACAGCAGGGAAAGGAGCTGGAGCCTCGCAGGGAGCCGGGCAGGGGCTGGGGCTGGGGTATTGCAGGGAGCCGGGCAGGGGCTGGAGCCTCGCAGGGAGCCGGGCAGGGGCTGGAGCATGGCAGGGAGCCGGGCAGGGGATGGAGCATGGCAGGGAGCCGGGCAGGGGCTGGAGCATGGCAGGGAGCCGGGCAGGGGATGGAGCATGGCAGGGAGCCGGGCAGGGGTTGCAGAGCTCGGGGCAGCCCCGGAGCAGCGATCCCGGCGGGAGCTGCCGCAGACGTGCTGGTGCCCGCGCAGGGCATGGAATGAGTGCCAAGCCGTGTGGGGTGAGCAATCCCGGCTGGATTGCTCCGCAGGGATCGTGGGGACAGGCCAGAAGTGCCTCTGGAGTGGAGCAGGCAGAGCTGAGCTCGGCACAGCCCCGGGAGCGCTGGGATCCAGGGATGAGGCTGCACGGTCGAGTCGGGGCTGGTTGGGGGAGAGCGAGCCAAGGTTTGAGATGAGCTTGGCTCACAGAGGTGCAGAAAAACAGGGAAGGCTGAGATTGGGGATTAAGAGGCATTAGGACAGGCGGGAAAAGCCCCGGAGCTGGGCAGCTCCTCCAAAAAAAGGCTTGGCTTGCTGCCGGGGTCCGTTCCCGTGCGCGTCCCGGCGGTGCTGCACCGGGACCCGGCCGGGGCAGATGCCAGGGGAGGTGCCCGGTGCTCCCGGGGCCTGGGCTCAGCCCGGGGCTGCCCTGGGCTCCGAGGCGGTGCCCATTGGGCATGTTGGGAATCGGAGCAGTTGAGCAATTGCCTTTATCACCCATAAAAGTCACTCCAAGGGAGCGCGGGGAGCTCAGCGCTGATTCATGGCTCAAGATCCCTCTGTAAAATACAAGGAGGCTTCAACATCTGATAATTACCCCATAAACATCAGTCAGAGCCTCGGCCTGGCCCTGCCAGGGCAGCTCGGCTGGGATTTGTTCTGGGGGGATAAAACAGCATCTCTGGAGAGTGGTGCAGCCCTGGGGAGCTCTGGAGCCGTGAGGAGGCAGGAGGAAAGGGAGGGAGGAGAGAATGGTGGATTTGGGTCACACCTGGGATTTCTGGTGGTGCTGCTCTGTATCCTGTTGGGGCCAGGTCACCCTGTGACCACCTCGTTCCCTGGCAGGTGTTTCCCACCCGAGGGAAGTGTGGGAATAACAAATTATGGGCTCTGGGGGAGAAAGAGGAGGGAGTGTGGCTCCAGAGCTGGCCTTGGGATGGAGGAAGCCTGAGGGAAGAGGGCCTGGAGTGGGAGCTGCACTTAGGGTTTGATTGTCAGGAGGGAAATGAGGGAAGGAGAAAGTTACAGCTCATTCAGTGCCTTGTTCTGAGCTCTTAAATTGTGGCTACAGCACATAAAAAGGGGCTGCACCCTGATCCAGGGACTTCTTCTGTCATTAGAGCCCTTCTTGCCTCCCTGGGACAAACCTCCCTGTCACTGTCCCAGGGTTTCCTCCTTTCCCTTCCAGTTCCTGGCCCTGGACACGCAGATGCTGATGGGGAACCGCCGGTACTCGCTGAGCCCCGAGGAATACATCTTTGGAGCCCTCAACATCTACCTGGACATCATCTATATCTTCTCCTTCTTCCTGCAGTTCTTTGGCTCCAGCCAGGAGTGAGGGCAGCGGGGCAGGATGCTCCCTGTGCTGGCAAACATGAGGGGTTCAATTGAAAAGCAGAGGTGAAAGGGTTCAAACCCTCCAGCCTGACCCAGTCCCTCCCTTTCTGGTCCATCCAACGCACTGAGGAGCCCCAGGCCCCTCCTGCAGCTTTGTACATTTGCTGCCAGGCCTTTGTGACCCAGAGAGCAAAGCAGGGCTTCAGTGTCGTGTCTCTTCTGCTCCCCCCAATCCTGCCCAGCCCACACCAATCCAGAGGCTGGGGCAGGAGACCGGGACCTTCCTGGCCCCAGGGGCTGCTGGAGGTGCCCTCTGAGTGCTGCCCATCACGGGGTGAAAGTGCTGTGACAAAACAACAGTGAAGGCAGCAGAGCAGGGAATTTGGTTAGGGAAAAGGGAAAAGCCTTGGGGAATCCTTGCATTGCCCTGTTTCCCACAATCCATTGGAGCTTGGTGGCCTCTGTGCTATTCCTGGTGACTCCTGCTGTTGGAAACGTGGAGTGTGGGATCACGTAGATGGATTTCAGTGCTCCAGGCACAGGGAACCTGTTTGTTCAGGACGTGCAGCTCTCTGAGGTCATCCCTGGTGCCACTGCAGGAAAAATTCCCCTGGATCCCTTGCATCCAGCTGAGTGTCCTTCCCTTCCCTTCCCTTCCCTTCCCTTCCCTTCCCTTCCCAGATCCATGAGTCCCACCCAGGGGAGTGTGCTGGTTCTCTCTGGAGTGTGGCTCCTCATGGAGGGGTTGGGATCCCAGGGAAGGAATATTGCCAAGAAATGGCAGAGAAGAGATGGAGGAGGCTGGGTTTCCATGCTGGGAAATGCCATTCCGTGTGGGAAATGGGCTGGGATCCTGTGACCCACCCTGAGGCTCTGACACCCCCACAGAACTCTCTTGGTTGCTCCAACTGAGCATTCCTAAGGGCTTCTTTCCAGGGGCTGAGGCCATTGGAGCAGCAGTGTTCCCTCTCCCTGGCTGTTTTCCATTTCTCCTCTCCCAAACGGGAATGTCAGCGCGGGCTCTGGATGTGCTCGGGTAACTTTCCACCGTGGCCGCTCACATTCCCTGTTTGGGGCTCAGCTGGCTGATCTGGGGCTGTAAAGCTCCCCGGAGAGATAAGGGGCCTTTTGCTCTCATTCCAAGAGTGATCCCTCCTGCAGATAGGACCTGGTATCTCCCATCTCGCTGGGAATGCCGGCGAGTGCGTCAGGGAGCTGCCTCCAGCAATTCCTGCTGCAGAGAGGCTCTGCCAGAACGCTGGAACGTTCCTGCTCCTTCTGCCCTGGGTTTTACCCCACACATGTCCTGTCCTCATGCCACACGTGTCCAGGGAAAGTCACTGTGCAGGGAATGGAAACGCTCCGGCCCCTCCGCGGCTGCAGCGATGAGCAGGAGTGATGCCTTCGCCTTGTCTTCCTTCCTAAAACATCCCAAAAAAAAAAAAAAAAAAAAAAACCCAACCCAACCAAACCAAAAAACCCAAACCAACCCAAAATTCCCCTTGTCTTCCTTCCTAAAACATCCCCAAAAAAAAAAAAAACCCCAACCCAACCAGACCAAAAAACCTCAACCAGACCAAAAAACCTCAGTCAGACACAAAAAAATGCAACCAGACAAAAAACCCATAACCAGACCAAAAAAACCCAACCAGACCAAAAAAACCCAACCAGACCAAAAAACCTCAGTCAGACACAAAAAAATGCAACCAGACAAAAAACCCATAACCAGACCAAAAAATCTTACTGGACAAAAACCACAACGAGGCAAAAGAACCCCAACCAGACAAAAAACCCATAACCAGACCAAAAAATCTGACTGGACAATAACCCCAACCAGACCAAAAAATCCCAGTCAGACAGAAAAAAAACCCAACCAGACAAAAAAAAAAAAAAAAAAAAACCCAGTCAGACAAAAAAAAACCCCAACTGTCCTCATGCCACACGTGTCCAGGGAAAGTCACTGTGCAGGGAATGGAAACGCTCCGGCCCCTCCGCGGCTGCAGCGATGAGCAGGAGTGATGCCTTCGCCTTGTCTTCCTTCCTAATTCCTAAAACATCCCCAAAAAAAAAAAAACCCCAACCCAACCAGACCAAAAAAACCCAACCAGACCAAAAAACCTCAGTCAGACACAAAAAAATGCAACCAGACAAAAAACCCATAACCAGACCAAAAAATCTTACTGGACAAAAACCACGAGGCAAAAGAACCCCAACCAGACAAAAAACCCATAACCAGACCAAAAAATCTGACTGGACAATAACCCCAACCAGACCAAAAAATCCCAGTCAGACACAAAAAAACCCCAACCAGACAAAAAAAAACCCAGTCAGACACAAAAAACCCCAACCAAAACACAATTCTTGGTAGGGTTGAAGGACAGCACGAGGTGAAGCCAGCAGGAAGTTCATGCCGTGCTGGTTCCTGCTGAGGAGAACCAAACCCTTGGATTGCTGAGCAGGCAGAACTGGGAATTGCACAGGACCACCCTAAAAGTGGATGGAGTTAAGAGTTTCAAGAGTGAATTTCCTGGCCCTTAGTAGACTGGCTGGGCAGTTCCTTGCTCACAGTTATTTCCTGTAGGGATTTGTGCTTTCCTGGCTTGGAGGGAGGAGTGTGGAGCTCCATGATGAGGTCTGGCTCTGAAATAGTCCCAAAACTCCTCCAAAATGCCCTGCTGGGAGCTGGGGAGAAGCACAGGGACCTGCAGCCCCCTCTGGAATTGTTCTTTTTCCTTCTGGTGTGGAGTAACTTTGCTGCTGCTGCATCCTGGCTTTGCTGCTGCCGCATCCTGGCTTTCTGCTGATATATCCTGGCTTTCTGCTGATATATCCTGGCTTTCTGCTGATATATCCTGGGCTTTCTGCTGATATATCCTGGCTTTTCTGCTCCTGTCGGGAACACCTGGCATGACTCCCCTCCAGGCACCTGGCTGGGGGGCCTTGCTGCCCTCCTGTGTGCCTTGCACGTGTCCTGCTCCCTTTTCCACACTGTTCCCACCCCAGCCAGCCCCTGATGGATGCTGAGCACTGTCCTGCTCGGGGAGGTGCAGCTCCTCAGGAGGCTGAGGAATGCAGGATTTGGGGTGGGATGTGGAGGGCTGCTCCCCCTCCTCCTGTGTCCTCCGTCCCAAGTCCTCATCCAGCTCCAAACCCAATCCTTTAGAGCTGTCGTTCCTATGATTTCACTGTAAATAGAATTTTGTATCTTCTCTGACTATTGCTAATAAATGGTTGCAAAACTGTTCCTGTGCCTGTTCCTGCTCTGGTTGTGCGGGTGCTGCTTCATCCCTTCAGATGTAAACAAGATCCTGGCATGGCCCAGAGGTTTAACGGAGCCCGAGTCACCTCTTCCCCGGTTATGAGTAAGGAAAACATCCCACACAGAGCAATAAAAGCACATGGATCTGGAACAGGTGTCATGGCTGCGGAGTAGCTGAGAACTGAGGGCCAAAGGGCTCCTGGAATGAGGGATTTGCTCCCTTTCCCACTCAGTTTATATGGCCACAGGATTCAAAATTCAATGAGTGGGGATAAGTCGTGGGAGGGCTTCAGCTCCAAGGGAATTTTCTGCCGTGCTGGAGAGCAGCTGGAGCTTTCCCAAGAGTAAATGGAGGAAAAAAATTCCTCCACGGACAATTCAACACCCAAAAGGAGAGCCTGCGCTGGGAGGGATGAATTCCCATCTCAGTCCCTCAGCTCTGAAGGGATGGCTGTCCAGGACAGAAATCCCAATGCAGCAGGGATTGGATCCTCCCCAAAAGCAGTCTGTGCTTTTGGGAAGGAGTCAAACCCAAAATGTGGGCAATTTGGTTCCTGGGAAGTGATGCTGAGCAGCCAGGAGGGATTTTCTTGCATTTTCTGCAGAAAAAAAAGACTGAAGTGGAACATTCTCACACAAATAATGAGGTGTCCAAGAGCAGGATGAGGCATCATCAGCGTTCCCTGAAACTACCACAGACATGATGAAAGGCTGATGATTCCATCAAATTTCAGCACTGGGCTTTTGGATGCTCAGGCAAAAAATTGGATTAATCAGACTGAAACCATCAAAGGAAGGATGGAGGGATGCAGGATAAGGGGGAAGATTGGTCAGTGTGTGAGAGATGCTGGAAGGAGGAAGGGATGGAGCTGCTTCCCATGCCTGTTGAAAACAGGAATTTGGGGCTCCTAAATCCAGCCAGAGAGAGTCAGAGGAGACTTCAAACCCCTGAATTCCACTGCCTGGAGAAGGGGGGAAATTGTATTTATTTTTGCACTTTTTTCTGCCTTTCTTTTGTGCCCGGGGGTCCCACACAGGGAGGATGAGGAGCTGCTGGAGAGAGCCCAGAGGAGGCCACGGAGCTGCTAAGGGCTGGAGCCCCTCTGGAGCCAGGCTGGGAGAGCTGGGGGTGCTCACCCCACTGCAGGGAGAGCTCAGAGCCTGTGCAGGGCCTGGAGGGGCTCCAGGAGAGCTGCAGAGGGACTGGGGACAAGGGACAGGGGGACAGGACACAGGGAATGGCTGCCACTGCAGGGGGCAGGGATGGATGGGAGATTGGGCAGGAATTCCTCCCTGGGAGGGTGGGCAGGCCCTGGGATGGATTTCCCAGAGCTGGCCCTGGATCCCTGGCAGTGCCCAGGCCAGGCAGGAGCAGCCTGGGGCAGTGGGAGGTGTCCCTGCCATGGCAGGGGTTTGGGTGGGATGAGCTTTGAGATCCCTCACCCCAGAGCATTCCCTGACTCCAGGACGTCCAGGCCCAAGCCATCCCCGTGTCCCACGGGGAGCTCGTGCTGTGACCGGGCTCCTTCCAGCTCCTCCAACCCCACGGAGTCCAGCTGATCCTGGACAGGATGTTCTGGGATGGATTTCCCAGAGCAGCTGGGGCTGCCCCTGCATCCCTGGAAGTGCCCAAAGTCAGATTGGATGGGGCTTGGAGCAGCCTGGGAAAGTGGGAGGTGTCCCTGGCAATGGGACGGGATGGGATGGGACAGGATGGGATGGGATGGGATGGGACAGGAGGATGTTAAGGTCCCTCCCCACCCAAACCATTCCGTGATCCCATGAAAACACAGAAGGGCCGATGCAAGGAGCCAGAGCCTTTCACCTGCATTTGTGAGCTCCAGGCGCCCTCTGCTCTCCATGCTGTGCTTGAAACCAGCAGCACATGAAACGCAGCTTCTTGTGCCAGCTTAACCCTACACCTGCGCCAGGCTTGGTTTTAACCTGCACCTCCTCTCCCTTAAAGCCCCTTTTAACAGAGAACTTTCATTTTCTTCTGCTTTAAAACCTCTCTCAGCTGCAGCCCGTGGGGTCCTGGGCCCCCCCAGCACCATCATGTATTTAATTGTGATTTAAACAACTTTTACTTGTCATTGATGTGTATAACATTTATACAGTATTTATTTTATAACATCAGTCTATATTATTCAAATATGCTTTCAATAGCGTTGATATAAGCAGCATTTACACGCTATTTATTTGAACAAAATTCATATGTTTTATACGACAAAATATTATGTTTATATTACTTAATTAACAGGTTCGTGTAATTTAAACGCCCTAACCCCGCCAAGGCCTCAAGGCCTCAGACCCTCTGGGGGCCGCGGCGTCGCCATGGCAACGGGGGGGGAGCATTCAAAGGGGACACACGGGTGGTCGGCGCCGTCCCTCTGCAGCTTGGCAGGGCCCAGACAGGATTCTTTACACAAAATCTCTTCTTTTCACCCCCAAGTGGGTGCCCTGGTGGTGGTGTCCCTTGTCCTTGTCCCTTGTCCCTGTCCCTCCTCCGGACATTTCTGCCCCGGAACGTTTCTCCCCAGTTGCCGTTCATTTCTGCCCCGGAACGTTTCTCTCCAGTTGCGGTTCCCGCCCGGAGCGGGGAGCAGTGCCAAGATGGCGGCGCCCATCAGCCGTGATAGCCGCCGCTCCGAGCCTGGCGCGGCTCCCTACGGCAACTTCCCGAATTATTCCCGGTTCCACCCGCCCGAAGGGCGCATCAGCCTCCTGCCCCAAGGGCTCCTGCGCAGCCTCTTCCCCGCGGCCACCCGCCCGCTCCTCGGGCTCGATGTGGGCTGCAACTCCGGGGTGAGGGGGCCACACGCAGGCGGGTTTGGGGCACCTTTGTGGGGGTGTGGGGGCGACTGGGGAGGCACCAGTTTGGGGTGTTGGGGGCACTGGGACAGACTGGGAAGTCCTGGCGTGGGGTCCTGGGTGACACTGGTACAGACTGCTGTGGGGTGCTGGGAATACTGTGAGGCACTGGTGGGGACACTGGGGACACTGGCAGTACTGGGGGTACTGGGGCACACTGGGGAGGCACTGCTGGGGGCAGTTGACACTCGGACAGACTGGGGGGCACAGAGGACAATCCAGCCCGTGGAAAAGGCTCGGGATGAGGCACTGGCGTGGGGTGGTGCAGACTGGGAACGCTGGTGGGGAACAAAGGAGGGCAGTGGGACAAACTGGGAATGCAGGGAAAGGCAGGGGCCTGGGGGAGATGGAGCAGCCGAGGGAGGCACTGGTGGGGCGTGCTGGGGGCACTGGGAGAGATGGGCAGCGCTGGGGCAGGCAGTGCCCAGCGTGGGAGGGAGCACTGGGAGCAGTGGGACAGTCACCTCCATGGGGCACTGGGAGGAGTGGGGCAGACTGGGGAGAAACATTGTCCTGGGTCTGTTAATTCCCTCTGGGAATGGGGACTCCTCCCCTGCCCTGGACAGGCCTTTCCATGAGGAGTTTTCCTAAAACTGAATCTAAACCTCCCCTGGGATCTGCTTCCTCTCATTCTGTTCCTGGGAGCAGATCCTGATCCCTGCTGCTCCACCTCCTGTCCAGTTTGGAGAGTGAGGAGGTCCCACGTGAGACCCCCAGCTCCCTCAGGGATTTCCAGCTCAGACTGGTGCTCCAGCCCTTTCCCAGCTCCAGACACATTCCAGTCCCTCAGAGGCCTGCCCTGGATCCAGGTGTGGCCTCACCTGACCCAGCAAAGGTGAATCATTGATCCCACCTGAAACCCACCCTGGCCAGGACACTGCTGCTGTTCCTGGGCTTTGGAATTCCCCTGAGGCATTACCAAAGGGACAATTCCAGCTCCCATTCCAGGTGAGCCGGTGGAGCAGGTCAGTGAGAGGCACCTGTCACCACCAGAGGACGTTCCCAGCCTGTCCTGTGCCGGTGGCTCCAGGAGCTCCATGGGATCTCCTTTAATTAAGGATTAATTCACTTTCCACCAGTGTGCACTGTGGAAAGAGATTCCAGGCTGGGGACCTGGACATTCCAGGGGCTTGGAGGCCCTGCTCTTGTGGAAGGTGTCCCGTGGCAGGGGTGGAGATAAGCTGTGTTCCTCCAGCCCAGAGCATTCCATGATTCCCTGGATTTTGGAGCAGGCCCTCACTGTGGGGGTGTCAGCACAGGGGGATCCCCTGTAATAATAACTGAAATAAGTTACACAGACTCCAGCACTCACAGAAGGTTGAGCCATTTCTTTATTAAGAAACCCATTGCTTTTTTTACACCCTGGTTTGCTACAGGGGGACCTAATTGGTCCTTTAATTAAAACACCATCACCATTGGCTAATTAACAAACCACTCTTTGATAAACAAATCTCCACATGTTCACAACACCGGGTGCAGCAAGTGAAGATAGGAATTGTTTCTCATTCTTTTCTCTGATCTTCTCACAGCCTTCCCCAGAGCCATGCCTGGGAAAGCTGTGCCTCTCTCTGTGGCCACAGAGCTGCTGCCCCATGGGGGATCCACTCCAGGTGCTCAGGGCTCCCAGGACAGATCTTTTGCTGATCTTGGTTAGATTTTCCTTTGGACAGCCACGAGAGGAAGCTCTGGGAGCTCTCCCTGAATCCCTGTTTTCCTCCTGCAGGAGCTCAGCGTGGCTCTGTACCAGCACCTGCTGGGGCTCCAGGACAGCAATTCCAGCCCGGAGCCGCCAGGGGCCGGGAAGGAGCTGAAGCTGCTGTGCTGTGACATCGATCCCGAGCTGATCCGGAGGGCCCAGCAGAGCAGCCCCTTCCCTGCTTCCATCTCCTTCGCCAGCCTGGACATCATGGACTCGGGGGCCAGGGAGCCCTTCCTGAGCTCCTACCTGGAGCGCTTCGGCCGCTCCTCCTTCGACATCGGCTTCTGCATGTCCGTGACCATGTGGATCCACCTGAACCACGGCGACAGGGGCCTGCTGGAGTTCCTGGCCCTGCTGGCCTCGCTGTGCACCTTCCTGCTGGTGGAGCCCCAGCCCTGGAGGTGCTACCGGGCGGCCGCGCGCCGGCTCCGCAGGCTGGGCCGCGATGACTTCGAGCACTTCCGCTCGCTGCGGATCAACGGGGACATGGCCGAGAGCGTCACCCGCATCCTGACCCAGGAGTGTGCCATGGAGCTGGTCTGCTCCTTCGGGAGCACCTCCTGGGACAGGAGCCTGCTGCTCTTCAAATCCACCGCTGCCCGTCCCGAGGGCTCCGGCTGAGGGCCGGCCTCGCGCTGCCGTGGGTTCACGGGCGAGGAGGCGGAGTGGGAATTCCTGAATCCCTGCTAGGACCGGGCCTTGGCTTCCTGTGGGAGTCCAGGGCAAGGAATGTGTGTGACTGATTGTTTTTAACCGGTTTTGTGGGGTGGGAGGTTGTTCAAGGAAGTGCTCCTGGAGTCCAAGTTCCTACATGTGCTTTCCACGTGTATTCCCTGGAATACCAGTCCCTCAGAGGCCTGCCTTGGATCCAGGTTTGGCCTCACCTGGCCCAGCAAAGGTGAATTATTGATCCCACCTGAAACCCACCCTGGCTGGGACACTGCTGCTGTTCTGGAATACCAGGGAACATGCCCTAGGGAATGTAGAATGTCCTGATTGGAACGGCCTCACAAGGATCCTCCAGTCCAGCTCCTGGCCCTGCACAAGGCATCCAAAACTCCCCCAGGACTGGGGTGAGGCACCTGCAGGACAATCCCTTCCCTGGACCCAGCAGCCCAGGCTGAATTCTCCTAGTACAGGGGTTTATCCCTAATGGTGAGTGCTTTTGGGAGAATTGAAAGGGCCTCACAAGGATTCTCCAGTCCAGCTTCTGGCCCTGCACAAGACATTCCAAAAAAATCCCATTAACCCCAAAATCCTGATGCCCAGGTTGTCCAGACATTCCCAGACCTCCAGAATCATGGAATATCCCAGAGCTGAAAGGGACCTGTGAGGATCTGAGAGTCATGGAACATCCAGTGTTGGAAGGGACCTGCCTGGGTCATCAACTCCAACTCCTGGTCCTGCACAGGACATCCCAAAATCCCACCCACTGCCTGAGAGTGTTGCCCAAGCATTCCCTGACCTCCAGAATTATGGAATAATCAGAGTTGAAAGGTACCCACAAGGATCACAGAGTCATGGAGTACCCTGAGTTGGAAGGGACCAACTCCAACTCCTGGCCCAGGACAACCCAAAAATCCCCCTGATGCCAAAATCCCAGCACCCTGAGCTCTGGCTTCTTGGGGCTGTCACCATTCCCTGGGGAGTTATTCCAGTGCCGAGCACCCTCTGGATGAGGAGCCCTTTCCCAAAATCCACCCAAAACTCCCCCAGGACTGGGGTGAGGCACCTGCAGGACAATCCCCTGCCTGGACCCAGCAGCCAGGCTGAACTCTCCCAGGACAGGCTCATCCCTAACGGTGAGTGCTTTTGGGAATGATATCCTTGGAATAAAAATCACTGAATTTTATCCTAAATTCCGTGTTGGGGTTTTTAATCCCACTTTTATTCCCATTCCTTTCAGCACCTCAGGGGTGCCAGGGAACTGAGCAGGTAATTCTGTTGTACTTCCACTTTTCCTTGCTGCAATGGGAGCGAGGGAAGCCCAGGGGTGTCCCGAGCCTTGTTCCAGGTGAGCTCCATCCCAGAGGGACAGGAGGTGTCACCTCCAGGAGGTGGTGCTCGTGTGTCGCTGCTCCTGCCCAGGTGAGCAGGGACAGGGGAAAACCTGGATGGATTTGTCCTTGTCCTTACTGGGAATTCCTTGTTTCCTCCTGCAGGGAGAGTGTAGGGGGGAAAGGAAATGTGTGGATCTGTCAGGGGAAGGGAAGGGAAGGGAAGGGAAGGGAAGGGAAGGGGAGGGAAGGGAAGGGAAGGGGAGGGAGAGCTTGGAGCCCCATCTGGTGCCTAAAGGGGCTCCAGGAGAGCTGGAGAGGGGCTTCAGAGAAGGAATGGAGGGACAGGACACAGGGAATGGCTCCCAGTGCCAGAGGGCAGGGATAGATGGGATATTGGGAAGGAATTCCTCTCTGGGAGGGTGGGGAAGCCCTGGAATGAATTTCCCAGAGCAGCTGTGGCTGCCCCTGGATCCCTGGCAGTGCCCAAGGCCAGGTTGGAGCAGCCTGGGACAGTGGAATGCGTCCCTGACGATGGGATGGATTTTAAGGTCCCTTCCCACCCAAACCATTCCATGACCCCGGGTGTTTCAGGATGCTGAGCAGGGCTGCAGGAAAACTTTGAGGCCCTTCCCATAAATGCAACTTCCCCAGGGATCCTGCAGCTCCCCCAGCACCTGAATCCCTTTGGGAACTGAGCAGCTCCCTGACATTCCAGGAGCTCTGGGGAAGCTCTGCTGACTCCAGGGCTGTCACTCAAGGTGTGTTTTCCTCCCTTTGCTCCTGCTGCTCTTTCCCAGCCGTGCTGCTGGGGGCACTGGAGGATCATGCATCCCACACCCTTCGCCCATGGAATGTTTCCCTTCCCTTGTGTCAATATTTGGTGCTGTTTTCTTTCACCTTTGAAATGTTTCTGAACTAAGCCCAGCCCCATCCCTGCTCCCAGTTAAAGGGGGAAAGAATTTCTGCCTTTCTTTTTCCTTTGGGGATTTTCATGCTTCCCTGTGAAAAATTCTAGGAAGAGTTGCTAGGAAGGTGCCTCCCAAATTGTTGTCCCTGCACCTGGCTGGAAGAATCTTTTCCTTCAGGCATACCCTGGTTCATGTTCCTTATTTATTGGGAATCCCCCCAGGATGTGCCTGTGGAGTCCTCCTGGGCTGCTGTTTGAGGGAGGAGTGTGGGTTGGAGTTGATAGTTCCTATTTTATTTTTATGGAGTTGATAGTTCCTATTTTCCCAGCTTTTCCATGCTGTCCCTGCCTGGTGTGTGTCTGTAACTGCAATGGCTCCTTATCTCTCATTCCTGGACTTTGGAATTGCTGATATGGCTCAGGAGTGGCCCAGCTCCAGAATTCCCTCTGCTTGACTTTGGCACAGCCAAATCCTTTGGGTTTTACCACAAATACAGCTCAGAATGGTCAAAACAAGTCCCTGTGCTCAGCCTGGAGAAAAGGAGGCTTAGGGGGGACCCTCTTCCTCTCCTGGTGGAGCCAGGGGGGATTTGGGATCTGCTACCAGGGAACAAGAGAAAAACAGCCTCAAGTTGGAAGTTTGGGCTGCATATTGAGAAAATTCCCTCATGGAAAGGGTTGTAAAGCACTGGAAGGGGCTGCCCAGGGCAGTGGGGAGTCCCCATCCCAGGGAGTGTCCAAGAAAAGTGTGGATGTGGCACTTGGGGACATGGTCAGGGATGACCAAGGTGGTGCTGTGTTGATGATCGGACTCAATCATCTCTGAGGGCTTTTCCAACCTGAACAATTCCATGGTTTTGTGATCCTGGGATACTGCAGAGCTCAGCATGGAGTCAGTCCTTCAGCGAAGAGGAGGAAAGATCACTTTCATTTTCCTTTCAGCTCCGTGCTCCTGCTGTCCAGGAAGGTGTGGGACTGGAGAGGTGGGAGCAGCTCTGGGACCCAGCAATGGCAGAGCCTGGAGGAGATCCCGTGGATCCCAGCTGCAGTAAGGATCTGGAGAATTCTACTTTGAACACTCTGCATTTCCCATATCACTAAAATGTGTTCCCAGTTTTCCTGAGGGTGGGACAGAGGGAAATTCCAGCTGGGGGTTAAACCCACATCTGCTCCTTGGACAGCAGCAAAGCTCTGTGGTGATTCCTCATGGAGAAGGAATGGTCATGGGGAGGTGGAGGTCCTGGACTTGGGGAAGGTTTTGCCTGGGAAGGAACTCCTAATATTCCATCCCACCCCTGCCATGGGCAGGGACACCTCCCACTGTGCCAGGCTGCTCCAAGCCCCATCCAGCCTGGACACTTCCAGGGATCCAGGGGCAGCCCCAGCTGCTCTGGACAACCTGCCTCAGTTTCCTTGAAGGACCCCTGGGCTTGGTCACCCTGGTAGGATTCAGGACACCTGGAGCAGGGCAGGAGAGGGATGTCCCTGATCCCAGGATAGACCTGCCAGTGGTGGCTGCTGCTGCTGAGGGAGCAGGAGCTTCCCTGGGAGTGCACAGCTCCCCTGGAGCATCTGGCTGAGCTTTGGGATTGTTCCTGAGCTCTGAGCTTTGGGATTGTTCCCAAGATTTGGGATTGTTCCTGAGCTTTGGGATTGTTCCCAAGCTTTGCGATTGTTCCTGAGCTCTGAGCTTTGGGATTGTTCCCAAGCTTTGGGATTGTTCCTGAGCTCTGAGCTTTGGGATTGTTCCCAAGCTTTGGGATTGTTCCTGAGCTTTGGGATTGTTCCCGAGCTTTGGGATTGTTCCCGAGCTCCGAGCTTTGGGATTGTTCCCAAGCACCAAGCTTTGGGATTGTTTCTGAGCTTTGGGATTGTTCCTGGCCTCCAGCCCAGTTTGCCTCTGTTTTTCCCTCCCCAGAGTGGGTTTGATTCCCTGATGGGGAATCTTGGCTGTGTGATTGCACAGCGCTTTTGGGATGGAGAACCTGAGGAGCTGAGCTGGAGCCTGGGCTCAGAGCTGTGCCCTGTTCCCAGTAATCCCTGCAGGGATTAATTAGTCCCCTGCCAAGTGCTGGGACTCATTAAGCCTCCCTCCTGCTGTGGGGAGGTCGCTCTCCCCTTCCTTGCATGGAAGAATTGAGGCAGGGGAGCTGAAGTATCAAAATTCAGATGTTGGAGCTTCCACTTTCCAGATGGTTCTGCAGGTGCTTCCAGCCCTTGGAGGAAGTGGAATTGGCTTGGAGTCGATGAGATACTTTTTTATTTTTGTTTTGAATTTCTCTTTACTGTCACTCCTGTGACACTCGATGTCCCTTCCTCTAAGGGACACTTTGCTGTCTCCCAGATTCCCGTGCTGAGTGAGCACAAAGGACACATTCCCAGGGAACAATGGAGAGTGGAACTCTGGAACCAGGCAGGAACTGGAGAGGAAACAACCTGAGAGCACCAGATGTCCTGGAGCTGCTCCCTTCCACATCCAGAACTTCCTGACACAGCTGGAGAGGCAGTCCCCACCCCTGGAGGGATCTCACAGCTGTGTGGATGTGGCACTTGGGGACATGGTCAGGGGTGGCCTTGGCTGTGCTGGGGCATGGGTGGACTCCATGGTCTCAGGGGGCTTTTCCAAGCCAGGCCATTCCATGATTCTGTGGTCATTGTGCCATTTCCATGGCTGCTTTTCCTGAGCCCTTGGAGCAGAAGGAATCCTTCAGACTCCTCAGCTCAGCTGTGATTCCTTCCCATTCCCCCACCCCTGGCCCTGGAAGGGATGAGTCCCCCCAGCAGTCCCTTTTCCAGAGCTCATTCAGGTTTTCATTCTCTACTTCCCCATTTTACCACATTTAGAAGTTTCTGCGAGCTTCCCCTTCCTAGAATTGGGTTGGACATTAGCAAATAGAATTGCATTTCCTCAAACCAGGGCTGGATCATATCCATAAAAGGCTTTCTCTGAGTTTGTTCAGCTGTGTTTGGCTTTGATGCTGAGGGATGGACAGTTCCCACCCCTGGGAATTCCTGGCTGGGGAAATGGAGGATAATTCTGTCAATGTTAAATCATGGCTGCCCTATCCTGGGAAGTGTTCAAGGCCAAGCTGGACAGGGCTTGGGGCACCCTGGGATAGTGAAAGGTGTCCCTGGAGACATTAAAGCCCACCCTGGGACTGGGTGGGCTTTAATGTCCCTTTCCACCCAGGCCATCCCTTGATTTCTAACTGAGAACATGGCAAAAAATGGATAAATTCAATTTCCAGTTTATTCCAAGCAGCCCAGGAGTGGAGGGACCCACCTCAGGAGCTGGGAGTTGGCAGCAGCTTCCTGGGCCCAGGAACTTGTTCCTGCAGGTCCCAGGGCAGAGGTTTGGACTTCCTTGGCTCAGCTCAGGGCAGGTTCCTTCTTGTTCCTCCTGTCACTTTGGAATTACAGAAGAAAAGGGAGAGGTGGCAACCTGTGGACATCTGGGAATTTGATTCTGGAGAGCTGGGAAAAGAGCAGTCCCAACCCAAACAACACACTCTGGGAGTTTGGCTTTTCCCTCCCAGTGTCTCCAGTTCTGGGGCAGAGGTTGGACTGGGGAGGTGAACTGGGGAGGGAGCAGAGCCCTGGTGGGATCTTGGTGGGAAACCACAAGTCCAAGGGTGAGGCTGGGGTCACTGGACATTTGTCCAGAGCAGCCGTGGCTGCCCCATCCCTGGAAGTGTCCAAGGCCAGCGTGGATGGGACTGGAAGCAGCCTGGAACAGTGGGAGGTGTCCCTGGCCATGGCAGGGGCTGGGATGGGATGGATTTTAAGGTCCCTTCCCACCCAAACCATCCCAGGATTCCCTGACGTGCTGCGGGCAGGTCGTGCTCCGCTGGGTTACAAACAGGGAGAGTTTGGCTGTTCCCTTCCTCGGGCTGTCACTGCTTGAAATGGAAGTGCCTTGGTCCTGAGTCCTTGGGTTTAAATTCCAGGTGGGAAGGGTTCCTTGGAGTCCCCACAGCTTTATCCTCGCTGGTCCTGGTGGAGAAGCTGGCCCATTGTGGAAGCTTCTCATTGAGCTCCTTCATCCCTCTCTGGGATTTTGTTTCAACACCTCAGGTTTCCCATTTTATTCACTTATGGAACAAACTGAGGCAGGTATGTTTTCCTCCTTGGCACAGAAGTCCCTTGGATCATTGTGGACATAATCTTTGCCACCATTTCTTAGCTCAGGCTCAAGTTCTTTGGAATGAGTTAATTTGGATCATCCTTGTTCTCCTGGAGCTGGGCCCACTGGAAGGGGCTGGAGTCGTGGTGCAGGATGGGGATCTGCTTCCAGGAAATATAAAATGCTCTCAGACCTTATCTCTTCTGACCTGACAATCCCAGTTCAATCAGGATCATAAATCACTTCTTATCAGCCCCCTGGAATTTCATCCTGATGTTTAACAAAGCTGCTCCGTCCTTGGATCCTCCCTGGAGCCACGGAGCCACTTTACTGGGAGTGAGAAAGTTCTGAGGCCAGAGCTGCCTAAACTCCTGTGGGGACCCTGCTGTGGAGCAGGGAGGCTCAGGAGGGATCTGATCCACGTCTCCATGGCAGGACACACACTGGATAATTGATCAATCCCCTGTCATGTGGTGGGTCAGGGATCAGACCCAGCCCTGTGAGGGGGCATCCCTGTGGGGTGGGATGCACCAGGATCCCAGAATAACCCATTCTGCTGGACTGTAACTCCTGGGAAGGACAGGGGAGCTGATGCTGAGGGGGTCTCTCTGTGTCACTTGGTGTCCCTGCTCTGCCCCGGGGCCAGTCCCAGCCTCTGGAAGGTGCTGAGGTGCAGCTTTGTTCCCGCAGGAATCTGGGAGCAGTCGTGCTGGAACAGGCCCTGCTGCCAGGCTGACACATCAAAGCAACTCCTGGGATCCTCCATGGATCAAACAGAGGCAGCAGGGAGGGAACAGGGAGGCTCCCAAACCTGCCAGCCCTGCGATGGCTCAGCTCTGTCTCCACATCTCCATTAACTCTGGGAACATCCCTGCTGGACACCCCTGCTCCAGGCACTCCCAGCTTGGGTTGCAGCCCCTCTGGAGCCAGGCTGGGAGAGCTGGGGGTGCTCACCTCACTCCAGGGAGAGCTCAGAGCCCCTTCCAGGGCCTGAAGGGGCTCCAGGAGAACTGGAGAGGGACTTTGGACAATGGCCTAGAGTGTCAGGATGAGGGGGAATTCCTGGCTGTGAGGGTGGGGAGGCCCTGGGATGGATTTCCCAGATCAGCTGTGGCTGTCCCTAGTTCCCTGGCAGTGCCCAGGCCAGGTTGGACAGGGCTTGGAGCAACGTGGGACAGTGGGAGGTGTCCCTGCCCATGGCAGGGGTGGCACTTGATGGGCTTTAATGTCCCTTTAATGTCCCTTCCCACCCAAACCATTCCATGGATCTGTGTGAGATGGTGCTGGGAAAAGCTCAGTGAAGGAACTGCTGTCAGGGAAGAGATCCTTGCTGGCATTTTGGGCAGAATTCCCGTTCCCTGTGGGAGGAAAACAGGCAGGAGGGTGAAGGTTTTATGGGAAAAACTCCTGTAATCCAGCCAGTCTTGGTGCCCCTCAGAGCAGGTGACACAGCCTGAGCCAGGAATCATGGAATTGTTCAGGTTGGAGAAGCCCTCAGAGATCATCAAATCCAGCCTAGTCCCAGCAAGGTCACCCCTGACCGTGCCACATCCACACATTTCTTGGACACTTTCTGGGATGGGGGCTCTGCCCCTGCCCTGGGGCAGCCTTTTAGGGCAGGACAACCCTCCTATGAAGGATTCTCCCCAAATCTCTAATAAATGTGTGCAAATATGGAATATCTCCTGCAAAGGCCCAGGGAGCTGCTCAGGCTCCGTGTCCACCTGGAGAAGATCCATCCCCTCGGGCAGGAACATCCTCTGGAGGTGTCTCCAGGGGTGGCCAGTGCATGGACACAAGGGAATTTGGAAGTTGTGAAGGCTCCTCTGGAATGTGTGGTGGCTTCTCTCCAGGGCTCGTGGATCTCCTGGGAATGATTTGAGGGAGTGACTGCT